CTTTATAAATGTTGGCAAATATATATATATTTTTACAATGTTCAAGACATTGTATAGGCAAGCAAGCACAACTGACAGATTCAGCTCGTTAGGAATCCATGTGTCAGTTTGGGTTAGGAGATTCTTTTATTCATTCTGCAAGTATTGTGGTGCCCACTGCAGGTGTCAAGGTGAAGGAGACAGCCCTGGTGCAGGATCTCATTGAGCTCATGGTCAGTGTCAATACCATGTGGTCTGTGTTCTGAGAGGTTCCCTTCTTTGGGGCCTGACAGAGTACTTTCTGGAGAAGCTGAATTCTGATGTATGTTGGATTAGTCGGTTAGGGCTGCTATAACAAAGCACTACAGGCTGAGGGGTGTATCAACAATAGAAATTTATTGTCTCACAGTTCTGAGGCTAGAAGATAAAAATCAAGGTGTTGGCAGAGCCACATTTGCTCTGAAGGCTCTAGGGGGGAATCTGCTTCATGCCCCTCTCCTAGCTTCTGGTGCTGCTAGTAATCCTTGGTATCCCTTTGTGTTATGGACTGAATGTTTGTGTTCCTCCAAATTCATATGCAGAGATCCTGATTCCCATTGTGATTATATTTGGAAGTGGGGCCTTTGGGAGGCAATTAGGTTCAGATGAGGTCATGAGGGTGGGGTCCTCATGATGTAAGTAGCGCCCTTTTAAGAAGAGGTATGAGAGAGCTTGCTTCTCTCTGTGCTTTCTGCCATGTGAAGATACAAGAAGATAGCCATTTGCAAACTAGGAAGCAGACATCTTGATCTTGGACTTCTCAGCTTCTAGAACTGTGAGAAATAAGTTTGTTGTTTAAGGCACCCAGACCATAGTATTTTGTTATAGCAGCCTAAATTGACCAAGGCACTTGGTTTGTAGACTTATCACTCCAGTCTCTGCCTCCATCATCACACAGTGTTTTCCTTGTGTCTGTTTTTGTGTCTTCTCTTCTTATAAAGCACCAGTCTTATTGAATTAAGGGGCCACCTACTTCAGTCTGGCCTCATCTTAACTGGATCACATCTGCAAAACCCTAGTGCCAAATAAGGTCACAGGCACAGGTACCACAGGATGGGAATTGAACAGATTTTTTGTGGTGATACAATTCAACCCAAAACAGATATGCAGGGTAGGCAGGTGAAATCTGTGGAAGAGTATTTCAGGTAGAGGGAACAGCATGTGGAAAGAGAAGAGTGCAGATGAGTTCCAGGAAATAAAAGAAATCAGCATGGCTAGCATGGAGAGCTGAGCATGAGATGTGACTGGGGTGGCTCAAGCCATGTGGAATGGTCAGGTGTGACTAGGCTGCAATTAGAGATCTCACTGGCTTGACCCAGTACACGTTCATTTCTTACATCAAGTCTGACGTGGGTTAAACAGCTCTTCTCTATAATGTAGCTCTACCATGCAGAACACATGGTGTCCAGGAAAAGAGAGGCCTGGGGGAGGTGCCCAACTGACAGGAGGTGTCTCAGCTGACTCTTCTACTCAAGATGAAGAGAGGTCGGAGGGAGGAGGGCAAGGATTTCTGTGAGCCTCAGCTGTCTCTCTTACCCATATTCAGGGTTAAGACTTCATCCTTAGAGTACTGGGGAGTCAGCCAGAGTTTTCATGCAGAGTGTGACAAGATCTGACTTGTGTTTTAGGAAGTCTTCTCCAGCTGGATCCAGAGTCAGCCCAGAAGCAAAGGAGCTGCAGCCCATGGAACTGTGGTGAAGGAAGTGGCCCATACGGGAGTCAGCCACAACAGTCAACATATTTGCAATTAACTTTTGCAGTTTCCACCGTGTAGGCCCAGACCCAATAAATAAACAAATAAATAGAAAAATTCTTGCAATTTAAACAACTTTCAAAATTCATTTTGTGTCTGTCCCCTCTATTCTACGCTGTTGTTACTGGGCTCCTTGCTGATTTGAGAACCTCATTGTTTTAGAAGATGCCCTCAACTCAGGTCTGTAATTCAGACCAAATAACAAGAGTCCCTTGTGTCAAAGGGACTTTCTGCTGGTTCCAAACAGCCTGGTGACCTGCCTTTGTCAGAAGCACTCTTGAGTAGAATATAAAAACATTCTATATTGAGACTGACCCCCATTTGTCTGCAGTTCTTTGTAAAGTATGTTTCCTTTGAGCCTCAAAATCACTTAGAGATCTGCTGCTGCTGCTAAGTCGCTTCAGTTGTGTCTGACTCTGTGCGACCCCATAGACGGCAGCCCACCAGGCTCCCCCATCCCTGGGATTCTCCAGGCGAGAACACTGGAGTGGGTTGCCATTTCCTTCTCCAATGCATGAAAGTGAAAAGTGAAAGTGAAGTTGCTCAGTCGTGTCCGATTCTCAGTGACCCCATGGACTGCAGCCCACCAGGCTCCTCCATCCATGGGATTTTCCAGGCAAGAGTACTGGAGAGGGGTGCCATTGCCTTCTCTGAATCTGAGATTTAATTTAGACCAAAGAACTCAGAAGCTCAGAGCCCCCTTGTTCTGCAGTAGTTAGGAGCACTGGAAACAATGTAGAGTTGGAAGTGTTGACTTTGTGGCTAAGATTTTAGCTGTTTGATTTCAGTGTTTTTGTGTATAAACTATGGATAATTGCATACAAAGTTATTTTGAAGCTTTAAAAATACAAGGTCGGTGAAGGTATTTTGCAAACTGTGAAGCTCCATCCAAATGTTGTCATCCTTCAGGCTTGACATGCCATTGAAAGTGTTTCCCAAATTGTGCTAATGGAATCCAATTGGACAAGAGCTGATTTCCCTAGTGGTTCAGATAGTAAATAATCTGCCTGCAATGTGGGAGACCTGGGTTTGATCCCTGGGTCAGGAAAATGCCTTAGAGAAAGAACTGGCAACCCATTCCAGTATTCTTGCCTGGAAAATCCCATGGACAGAGTAGCCTGGTGGGCTACAGTCCATGGGTCTGCAGAGTCGGACACAACTGAGTGACTAACACACACATGCCCTCAGTGGTTACGTCCTGCAGCTACACTTGACCTTGATCACCTGAATTTTCTTCACTGCTTGGTCAGTTGTGCCCATCATTGCTTGTGACCAAAAACCCCAGTTCTTATTTCTGTAGGTGAGCAAAGACTGGGTTGGAGAGTTTGTTAGGGACTTCCCTGCAAGCCTTACCACCAAGGTGTTTTGTTTTTTTTTTACCACCAAGGTTTTAGAGCAATATGTGAATATAGCCTGAAAGTGAAATGGTCAGGTGAGCCTTGGGATGAACCATTTGCTCACTTGGGGGTGGGTGTCCCAGCTCTAGGTGATTGATACCTTGGGGGAGATGCAGCATTGTGTGGCTAAACCTTAGGATTTTTTAAAATTTATTTTTTTCCAAATGTGAAATTGTGACATTTTACATTCTCATGGCAACTTCACTGGGCTTCCCTGGTTGCTCAGATGGTAAAGAATCTGCTAGCAATGCAGGAGACCTGAGTTCGATCCCTGGGTTGGGAAGATCCGCTGGAGAAGGGAATGGCTACCCACTCCAGTATTCTTGACTGGAGAATTCCATGGACAGAGGAGACTGTAGTGACTATAGTCAGGCTCTTTGGGACCATCGGGTTGCCGGCACGACTGAGCAGGTTGGCTTAGGAAGTGAGCCTCAGACCAGGGCTCTGGGATTGTTTTCTCATTTATAAACTGGTTGTCAACTTCCATAGGGTTGTTACAAGACCAGATGAGAAAACAGAATGCCCAGCCCACCACACTGGGCCTGGTCACAGAATTCCAGTGGGAGATGTCAGTTACTTGTGTTCTGCTGTTATTTGGCAATCCCCAAGCTTCAGAAGTTTTAATCCTCTTTCATTTGGTATTTCTCACCCATATGGTTAAAAGGAATCATGACTATACAGGCCTTTCAAGCTTGGTCAAGAAGATAAGTATTAAGGGGTTTCGTACATTAGAAAAAGAGAACTATTCTTCCCTTCCCCCAAACTGTATGATTTTAAGGAAATGGTGTATTCTTCTTAAAAATAATTTCAGCAAAAATAAACTAATTGAAAATATTAAGTAATCAAAAGTAAAAATGTGATGCTAATCGTCAAGATGGTGCCAAGCGACCTAAGAGTGGGGAACCCCGCAGTCCCACCGTTTCTCCCGCGTGGAGCACCATTGGCCACCCAGCGAACTCCGCCCCCTCCTCTCTTCTCGCGTCGGGGGGAGGAGGCAGAAGGGGCTGGAGCGAGTGGCTTTGACGGCACCAAGGTCAAGGGGGACGGCGGGTTCCGTCCCAATTTCTTGGGGCTTGGAGGACACTACGCGCCCAATCTCCGAAGGCCGGGTTCTGCACTTCCAGCAGGGCGACCTTGGTTTCCGAGACTTCCTGGAGTCCAGTTTCCTCTTTGGGAAATGGAATGGCCAAGGCTGCCAGTGCTGGTTTAGGGCGCACGGGGACCAGGGTCTACGGCCTCAGAAGGCGAAGGGTCAGTCTTGCGCCTCTGCGGTGCTGGGCTCAGACCGCCGGCCGATCGGGACAGGACTGGCAAGCCAATAGAGCCGGCAACCCTGCGCAAGGCCCCAGCTCGCGCGGATTCTAAGATGAGGACAAAGCCCGCCCGGATCTACCGTGCGCGCGCCGCTGCGGCCAATGGGAAGCCGGCACGGGGCTGAGTGACAGACCGGCGAAGCCAATGAGCATGCACCTTGTTGCGAGGTGCCCTCGGCTCCGGCATTATAAAGAGCGCCACGAGTCGGCATTGTCAGGCGGCGGCACCTCGCGGCCCGGGCGAGCTTTTGAGTCTGTGTTTCGTGTGGCTGCGGAGGCGGACTAGGAGAGCGCGAGGTCGTAGTGGTTCCTTCGGTAGACGGGGGAGAGGCCCGGCAGCGCGAGCGTGAGCGCGGCCGAGCCCGCGGTGTCTTCTCGGCGGGTGGGGACGAGCGGGCCCCGCGGCGTCATCGGCGGCGAGGTGAGCGGCTGGGCCCGCGGGCGGGAGCCTGGGCGGGAGTGGCGCCGGCCTGACGCGCTCTGGCTGCTCGTTGCAGGAGCCGCGCGCCTCGGCCTAGTATGTCGGAAGCGGGTGAAGAGCAGCCCATGGAGACGACGGGAGCCACCGAGAACGGACATGAGGCTGCCCCCGAAGGCGAGTCGCCGGCCGGGACTGGTACCGGCGTTGCGGCGGGGGCTGGAGGCGGGAGCGCGGCGCCCCAGGCCGGCAACCAGAACGGCGCCGAGGGCGACCAGATCAACGCCAGCAAGAATGAGGAGGACGCGGGGTAGGTGCTGCTGCGGGCCGACGGGGGCGCCGCCTTTGTTCCGGGGCCGCCTTTTGTTGGCGCCACGCGGCGGGGGGAGGGGCGGGCGGCCGGGGCCTGCTCGCGGCCCGCAGACCGGCAACTCCGCGCCGCCCGCTTACGGCGCGCACTGGAGTTTGCAAGAGTTTGTTGGGTCGACTTTGGCGCCGCCCCGGGGCCGCTGGCGCGGGGACGTGCGGCAAGAGGCCCGGAAGGGGGAGTGAGCTCGGAGCAGGGGCCTGGCGGGTCGCGGGCTGCCTAGGCTGCGTGGGCGGAGTTGGCGCGCACCCGGGCCTCCCTCCTCCGGCTCCTGCTGAGGGCGGAGTCCCGGTCTAAACTGACTCGGCCCCGGAAGCCTCGAGTTCCTTGAAGTGATCGGAGGTGGCAGGGACTGTAGTGTTTTGATACATAATTGATAAGACAAATTAGATTCCTTCCGGTTGTGAGACCTCAGGTCCTAGCTCTCCGGCCAGGTTGTGCTTTCTTTCCTCAACCAGGTTAGGGTACGGAGTCACCTTAGGCTTTATTAGGGTCAAGGTTGAGTTTGGAGGGGTAGGGGAGACTCGTTATCATTTCCCAGAGGTAGAGCCCTGTTCCGAATGGTGGCTTTATTTATAATCCTTTCGGTGAGAGCTTTGTCAGGGTCTATTCTTCCAAAATCACAGCTTGGTTATAAGGCTTGTTGCCATATGTCTCACCCCACTCTTTCAGAAAAATGTTCGTTGGTGGCCTGAGCTGGGATACCAGCAAAAAGGATCTAAAAGATTATTTTACCAAATTTGGAGAGGTCGTTGACTGTACAATAAAAATGGATCCCAACACTGGCCGGTCAAGAGGGTTTGGATTTATCCTCTTCAAAGATGCAGCCAGTGTGGAGAAGGTAAGCTGGGTAGTTCACAGTCGGGAGTCACAGTGTGTTCTAAGACACCATTCTCAGACCATGATTGGCGTATGTTTTGCACAGTTGAGTGCTTTGGGAAGAGCAGAGAGGTTGAGAATTTGGCCTATCCTTTTTCAAGGGATTAAAAGTAGAGATTAAGTGGAGGAGTGAGTATGGGCTAGGGTGATCAAGGAAGGTTTATAGTGGACCATTTATTATCTTGTGCCTATTCTGGACCTTGCTAAAGCAAACATTGAGAACATTAGAAGAGAGCCCATAGTTGCTAGGAGATAAGCGTTACTTTAACTTCATTTTGCAAAAAAACAGAAGGTTAAGTAGAAGAGATCACATAGCCAGTAAAGGGTGGATTGCGAGGATTCCAGCCCTAGCAGCCCAATTCTAGCTTGTGCTTTAAGTTTCTGCTGCTTTACTGCCTTAAATTGGGACTGGCTGGGCAAGAAGAGGGGTGCCAGGGCATGGTCAAAAGACTTGGGAGTGGGTTGAGGATAGATTTATAAGTGTTTAGGTAAACCAGGTGAAGTTTGGGTTGGGAAGTCAGGTTGGGGGTAGAATTTGGAGGAGATGAAACAATTCTGTGTGCCTGTGTTGGGAGTCCTATGGCTGAGAGAAAGAAGGTCCTTGTCTTGGGTCATGCTGCTGAGTTAGAACCCAACTCCCTTCTGTTGGAACAGGTTCTAGACCAGAAGGAGCACAGGCTGGATGGCCGTGTCATTGACCCCAAAAAAGCCATGGCCATGAAGAAAGACCCAGTAAAGAAAATTTTTGTAGGGGGTCTAAATCCTGAAGCCACTGAAGAGAAGATAAGGGAGTACTTTGGCGAGTTTGGGGAGGTGAGTGTCTGGCCCCCACAATGGTCTGCCAGTTGCAATGATGTTGCCTTCTTACTGGTCCTTGACACTTCGGCTCACTGCAACTTTTTTCCACTGTGGTGGTTGTGGGCCTTTTCCTATGAGTTCTCTATAGGCTCTGAGGTAGAGCTTTGCCTGTGTTTGCAGATTGAAGCCATTGAGCTTCCAATGGATCCAAAGTCGAACAAAAGACGAGGCTTTGTTTTCATCACCTTTAAAGAAGAAGAACCTGTGAAGAAAGTGCTGGAGAAAAAGTTCCACACTATCAGTGGAAGTAAGGTAAGGTGTCCCCAGCTGTGTGTGCACTTAGCCTTCTGCTGGAACTGGCCTTTGCAGGTGTGGACTAGGGGTTGAACTACCTCCAAGAGTTCTCCAGGGTGGACGTTACTGTTTCTGTGCAGTGTCTGCTGTCCTGATAGGGACAAGTGGTCCTGTCCTTCAGAGCTAGGCTGGTAGGACAGGATGTGAGGGAGGCAGGAGAATACTGGAGGATGGGAGGCTCCCATGGGATAGGTAGTGTGCTGAGTAGTCTCTTCAATTCCTGACCTAAAGTTAGAGGTCAAGGTGTTCTGGACCTAGAATGCAGTGTGTATAAGTCCTGCAGTTAAGGTCTCAGAAGATTCTAAAATTGCTGTTTAGTGATTTCTGTGGTGAAGTCTCTCCTGCTATGGACATTGTTGCAGAGCTTTTCTCTTTATCTGTTTCCAGCCACAGCCATATCTCTTCATTTCCATCCCCTTTGGTCGCTGGCTAAATTAACCCCTGGTCCAAAGATCCTTTCCAGAGAGCTCCCAGGGTCCTGGCCACCTTAAATCCAAGGCCAGTTTTGACTTCAAAAGAGCAGAGTCCTTTGCAGTGAGGGGCAACTCGGGCAACTCTTTCTCCTGAACTCTGGACAAGAGAAAGGGTAGGTAGTTCATGCTTTAAGTGTTGAGGCAGTTGGGAGTTGAGGGTGTGACCCACTGGCAGGGTGTGGTAGGCTTTGCCTGAGCAGGAGTGGCAGCCAGATAAGCTGGGACAGGTAGGGTGGGGCTCCTGGAAGTCTCAATCCTGGCTGGGAATTTGAAAGATTGGATTTGGGATTGGGCCCTTAAATTTTATATAAGAGAGAGGATCATAGGGGGCTGTTGGGTGAGAGCCATTGTTGCCCTAGTGGACATTGACATGGAAAGAGGCCTTTTTCTCTGTGCCATGATGTGAAACGGGCATGAAGTGCCCGTTTTACAGTGCTATTAGTCAAACTGCTGATGGTTGGTTGTGAAATAAGTGTAATTTAGGTGGTTGTATTCAGCAGCTTTAACCTAGTAGGATAGAAAACATGAGATTGCATCACTTGGTGGTAACCTGCCAATTTTTGACTATGCTTGGATGAGGATGTCTTATAGAATGGTTTTTTAATTGGTCTTAATGGAGACCAATGTTGGTGAAGTTTATTTTAAAAATACACTTAAAGGCAGGAGCACAGGAAAGTCCTTGGTGTTTCCACTCACAGTAGGCAGAGATTTGAGCAAAAAGGAAATTGACTTTTATGTCCTAGCAGGGGAGATACACCTGGTCCGTTGCAATCGTAGATCAGTGTTTGGAGGAGGAAGGAGCAGCGGGATGGCCTTAAGGAATGCTGTCCTGAGCCCCAGTGGCTTTTTTCCTCTGTAAGATGGAGGTCAGGGTTGCCACCTCAATTGTGTATTAGAGTGGAATGTTTTATTTCTTCTTGGGGTGGGAAGGAACCTGCTTTCTCTAAGTTCCCTTACCTGGGAAGCCTTCTCTGACTTCCTTGCTCAGGGTGGTGTCTTGCTACACTGGACTGGCACTGGCTCAGCTGTCCCTCTCCTCCCACTTGTTAAGGTATAGAGTGGCCAAGGGTGACCATCAGCAAACCTGCGGATGTGTCATTGTTTTTCAAGCAGTCTGGGAAGAGGTTTGAGCAAAAAAGGCCAGTGTGAATCTTGGTCTGAGTTTTAGTTGAAGTTCTGAGCTAGTCCAAGTATGGTTTCCTACTCCAGCATGTCTTGAGCAGATGGACAAGATCTACCACCTTAATGTTTGTCATTGAAGGCTTTTGTGTACCCTCCCTGTTTAGGGCTTGTCCTATTGGCATGACCCACTGTTTTCTTGACTTTTAGTGTGAAATCAAGGTGGCTCAGCCCAAAGAGGTTTATCAACAGCAGCAGTATGGCTCTGGGGGCCGTGGGAATCGCAATCGAGGGAACCGAGGCAGTGGTGGCGGCGGCGGAAGTGGAGGTGAGTAGAACCCAGATGAAGACAGGTCCTGTTTCCCTGCCTGCATGGAGCTTCTGTGTTTGTCTTGGGGGTTTTCTGGTGCTCGTTACAGCAGGGTGGGTGCGATCAGGGATGGCTCCTGAGTTGATGCTATGTTGCTGCTTGGATTGGAAGAGCCCATCTTTCTCATGTGGCCTGGGGCCCCAGGGCAGAAGGGGCCTCTGCATCACACTCCACAAGCTTTGAGGGGGCAAGGTGGGAGTGTGCTCAGCTCTGTGGCTGTCCTGAGTCTTGGTACACCCGTGGGTGGGCGGGCTGAAGGATAGGGCAATGCTGTGCCAGGCGCTTATCCTCCATCCATCCCAGGCCCCTCTGACTCCAAAGCCTGAACTCCATCCTTTTTAAGGCCAAGCTGCCAGGGAGGGTGGGGGTGATCAGTGGGTGATGTGAATGAAAGTGAGCTGCCTTGGTTGCCCCAGTGAAGTTAGTGTTCTGGCCTGGCCTTCTTAGCTCTAGCTTGGGTCTCTCAGGCCCTCTACACCAGGACAGCAGCCCCTTGGCTTTTCTGAGTTGCCATAGTAACCTCGCCACCCAAAGGGCAGGATTTCCTCCATCCTAGCTCCTGCGTGTGCTAAATGGTCCATGGGCCCCTGTGCCCTGCTCCCCCCACAGGTCAGAGTCAGAGTTGGAATCAGGGCTACGGCAGCTACTGGAACCAGGGCTACGGCTACCAGCAGGGCTACGGGCCCGGCTATGGCGGCTACGACTACTCGCCCTATGGCTATTACGGCTACGGCCCCGGCTACGACTACAGTAAGTAGGAGAGGGAGGCCCCCATCCACTCACCCACCCCGGGAGGCAGGACAGACAGTGCAGGGGCCATTGGCAGCAGGGGCTTTGGAGTCGGACAGGCTGGGCTTTTGTCTGAGTGGATTTTGAGCTTTTGGGTTTCAGGAAGGTGGGGTGACATCCTACCAACAGAGTTGTTGGTTCTGGTGAGGATGCATATCAAGCGCCTGGCACAGGGGTAAATGGTCAGCAAGTTGTAGCTACTTTCATTGTTGTTCTTGTCCCTAGGTCAGGGTAGTACAAATTACGGGAAGAGCCAGCGACGCGGTGGCCATCAGAATAACTACAAGCCATACTGAGGCTTCAGCAGGAGTGCCTGACTGACCACACACGCTTTGTTTGGATATCGAGTGAACACAATTATGTACCAAATTTAACTTGGCAAACTTTCTATGGCCTGTCCCATGTGCATCTTATTTAAAATTTCCCCCCTGGAAATCACTCTCCTGTTTAATATTTCCAGAGCTCTAGTTGTTTAGGCAGCGTGTGGTTTCTCAAAAGGCCAGGGCGGCATTATGGGCTGATTTTTATTACCGGGTTACCCAGAACCAGATTGGAGGGTCTGCTTCCTGCTGCTGCTCTGCAGCCTGGACCTGTGGACCCTGGTTGTAAAGAGTAAATTGTACCTTAGAAAACCAGTGTCACCTTTTTTTCACCTTTTAGTTTTATATTATTTGTGTCATACATTTCCTATAATGGAAGTGTTAATTTTACTGTACTTTTTGGTACCTTTCGGGAATCTAATGTATTGTAAGGTATTTTACACGTGTCCTGATTTTGCCACGACCTGGATATTGAAGCTATCCAAGCTTTTGAAATAAAAATTTAAAAACCCCCAAGCCTGGGTGAGTGTGGGGTACACTGTGAAAGGGGGGCAGGTGCTCCAGAGCTCCAGTATCCTCCATGACCTCCTAAGGCATCCGTCAGGCATAACCACACACTGTCTACATCTTCGATTAGTTTCCTTTAATGACTTGGCCCTGCTTAGGACTTGTGTAGCTTTAAAGAAAGTGGAGTGGCAGAGGTTTGAGGCAGTTGTTCAAAGAGGTGAAGACAGTACAGTGAGGGTTACCACCTTCAGTGGGGATGCTGGCCCAGGCCAGTTGGAGTCTGGAGCACCCTGGAACACCTGTCTTGACTTGCCATTGAAAATGGGATTCTCTCCCAGCAAAGTTGTGAAACCTAAAGACAAGAGGGGATACACAAAGGACCAGCTGGATCTGGGCAACAGTGTCCCTCCTGGTTGTCCTGTAACAGCCCCATCTGGCAGTGATATTTGCTGGCTTGGCTGGAGCACCCCAAGTCTAGTGACTGAGACCTAAGAGCTGGTTTGAAGATGCAGCACTTGTCTGGGGCCAGGTGGATAAAGCCTCACAAAAATTCTGTATCTTACAGAGGAACTGGCTGGGGAAGGAAATAGCTATCAAATGCAAACTTAAGGACTCAAGATTTTCAGGGGTGAGGGATGTGGAGCTCAAGGCACCCAGAGCCTCCCAGTGTTGAAATTAACCTGTGAGAAAGGTAAACCACTTGGAACAAACATAGGAGCTGCTGATGGATGGTAAGGAAGCCAGTTCTGGGTCTTCTGGGAACAAGAAGCAAGGCCACCTACCTAGAGAAAAGACACCTCAGCAGGGCTGCCTCAGGAGTGGAGCCTCAGGGTCTCACAACTTCTCACTTTCTCTTCCATGTCTGAAAAATAACACAGGACCACTCAAAATGGTCCACCTTCAAAAATACATTCCCTTCTCCCAGCAGGTCCCGTTCCACCTCCAAATGTCTACTAGGGAGATCTGGGGGCAGTACAGTAGTAAAGTAATCTGGTCAGGGATGGTGGGGTGGTTGTCCCTGGGCGGTAGGGGAGTCTACAGGGGAGACCTTGACTTTTCTCAATGATTAGCAATGTGGAAAGGGATTTCGCATTGAATCAGTCCTGAGCACATATCTCAATTTAGCCACTTAGCTGAAAAACAAAGCTGCTGCCACCTGTCTCAGGGAAGCTATGAGGGTCTAAGAAGCTCTAAGATATAATGGAACTCTCCCACTGTGGTTCTGATGGGTCCAGCCCTGCTTTCCCTTGTCCTGCACGCCACACTGGGTGCCTGCCCAGGGCTCTTGAGTTTTGGGGGCACAGGCAGGAATAGGCCTCCACTTCAACTTCAGCTCCCCACTCCTTGCACTGCTCAGAAGACATCTGGCTCAGCTATTAGATGCCTGTCCCTGGGCATACTGGGAGGTTGTGACTCCTCCAGGCTAGATTCTAGAGCATTATCAGCTGCCCCTTGGCCTCCATGCTCACCTGTCAGGATGGCATCTAGCTTTGCTACCACGTGTCTTGCGTTGTCCAAGCTGAAACACATCGGGGGCTTAAACTTTAGGACATTCCTCCCAGGTCCGTCGGTGCTCAACAAAATGTAGTTTTCCTTAAGCCTGTAAAGGTAGGACACAGCAGGACCTGCTGCCCACCAGCCAAGGGCACGTCATACAGATCTTCCAGACTTTTCTCAGCCTGATATTGGCAGCCATACTGCTCTCAGAACCCACCATAAGCCAGTTCCCACCAAAATAATAGCACTGGCCACCCCCCACCCAGATTTCCTGCCCAACTTTATGTCCCAGCATGAAAGACAAGCACAGCATCCCCATCTGAGGTGCCCTGTACCTGGCCCTGAGCCTGCTGCCACCCCCACCCAGAGCAGGGGTCTTGCTTCATCCATCCCTAGAGGCCCACTGTAAGCCAAACAGAATGGCCATGGGGCTACAATGTGGATGTCAAGATTCCCTGCTTTTTCCATTTTGATGTATGGTTTATGTCATGCATGGTTTAGCTTTTTTTATAGGAAGGGTCCAGCATTCACTAATAGAGAAGAGTGCAGTGAATTCACGTGGCCTAGCTTCATTAACTCCTGCCAACCCCTTCTCTACCCTGCCCCCAGATTATCTTCTAACTCCAGACTGGACTATTCAGTTTTAATTTCCAGTTCTTTTTAGAAGATTACTCTGTTCAGCATTATCATTGGTGCCTAGTAATAATAGTCCACATTTATACTTTTAACCCAGGAAGGTATTTTGGCCTCTCAGAGAAGGGGTGTGATATGACTGTATTTACGTTCTCTGTCCCCTGCTCATTTTTTTAAATTTATTACTTTTATGTAAGTCTTGTTAGGAGCAGTGTCCTCAGCCTGCCTCTCTCTCTCTTATCCCATCCCAGTCTTCCTGGCACTGACAACAGCCATGCTTGAAAGATGAGGTTCTGACTTCAGATCCAGCTCTGGCTCCTACTAGCAGGGTGACTGCCAGTGAAACACTGGCACTGCTTTCACTCACTCAGCTGGAGAAACTACATTGGGCTGGGGTGGGATGCAGAGAGGGGTGGTTGTAAGATGGAGGCAGTCAGGCTTGGCTGAAGAGCTGGCCCCTTCCTTCCCAGAGATCATTCTGAATTCCTGAGTCCTGAGGCTCCCTGAGAGAATCGATGGGCAAGCTGGTGGATGTGCTCACCAGCAGAAAGAAGGCAGGGGCTGGGCGGCCATGCAGGAGGGGTCAGCCTCCAAAACCATGTGGAGAGATTTTTTACATCCACACAGTTTGTATGAATTCAAAACAGAAGGATGCACATTTTACAACTTGAATAAGAACACACATCAAACAGTAGATGGGTTTTCCAAGGTTGGGGGAAGTGGGTAGGAGTGAAGAATGGAAGAAAGGATAACGAAACAAGAAGGAAAGGGTCCTGGGGCTCAAGGGAACATGCAAACCAGGGCTGGGGGTGAGGGCTTCTGAGTCTTGAGATGCCGAGTCCTCTAGACACTCCCTACCCAGATGAGGAGCAGGAGTCTACCTGAAAACCTCTAGTAACAGGGAGTCTGGTTCTGCCACAGCCCCAGCTATGGCTCTGGAGAAGCTGCTTCTCTCAGGCAGCCTGGGGCTGTGAGACTCAGGGTTGTGGCTGCCTGGGTTTGAGAGCTCCAGCAGCTTGGCACTGTCTTGTTCGAAGTGGCTGCTCAGGCTGGGAATGGCCTGCACTGAGGGTCCGGCATGTCTGGGGGCATGGGTCAAAAAGGAGAGGCAAGGGAGGAGCTCTTTCCTAGTCAGAGCAGTAGACACTACAAAGGCAACTTGTTTCAAGGAAAAAATACCTGGACACCACATAGTCAGCCTCTTCGGTTGCCGGCATTCTTGTGGCCTCATCTTTGATCAGATCCACACCAATGAAGAGCCCAACACCCCTGGAGCAGAAGGTGACATCTCAGGAGACAGGGCTTGAGGGACCAAGGTCCTTGCTTTCACCCTCTGCCTGGGTCTCAGCCAAGCCCCTGTCAGAAAGCTGACCAGGGCCCACAACTCTACCTCCCAGGGAGGCTGAGAGTTGCAGGAACCCTCGGAGGGTGGTGAAACAGTTCCAGGAACTAACTGATAGGGAGGAACCCTCAGTGTGGACAGAGTAAAGTTTGATTCTGGCTTCACCACCCCACCTCCCGCCAGGTGCCATCTTGGGCAACAGCACCTATAGGTGCTTCAAATTCAGTTCCTTCTCTGTGGAGATAAAAGTTGCCACCATCCCAGGTGGGGGTGACAAGGTGAATGAAGGAACCATACCAGGCCCCTGGCAGATAATGACTGCTGTTCTTAGCCTCACCTGATGTCCCCAAGAATGGGATGTTTGGCTTTCTGCTGTCCGAGGAGCTCCATCAGGAAGCTGCCCACACAGGCTGCGTGAGCCTGCAGTTGCTCCTTCTCCAAGACATCCAGGACGGCCAGCCCCACAGCACAGGACACTGGGCTGCCCCCAAACTGAGCCAGGGGACAAAGGGCAGTTCAGGTGCCCAGCAGAGTGGGCCATGCCCCAGGGAGCGTGAAGGGCAGCAAAACTGCCACACACATTCCAAAGGCAGATGAGGACAGGTATGAACCCATAAGGACTCAAGTGTTCTGGGCAGTATATGGAGTTCTCTTGAGGCCCCCATGGATCGTCCTGCCTTTCCAGGACGATAGAGATGCATTAGCAGGGATCCAGTAAGAAAGCCAGGGATGTAGTAGGATCCCCAGGAAGATGCAAAAATCAGAACAGAGGGTGTTCTGGGCATTCCCAAAGAGCTGGTTTTTGTCAAAAGGTTTCCGGGTCCCATCTCATGGACTGGACCCAGACCCACTTCATTTTACTACATCACCTCTTTCAAGGAGAATCAAGAGCAACATGCCAGAGCCACACCCAGGAAAAGTCACCCTGTGTAATTTCAGCTCACAGCTTTACTGGCTGAGCTCAAGGCAGATTTTAGGGCGCAGACCACAAGCTGGCTGCCTGTGAGCCACATGGAGCCTGAGGATTCATTTTGTTCGGCTTCTGTGACATAATTAAAGGTTTTGAATTAGGTACTAATGTCTTAAAAGAAGGGACTTCACATAAAAATGTTATGTCTCACTTAAAACAAACCTAGCCTATCTGGCTAGGGGACCTCCTACAGACCTTTTTTTTTTTTTTTAAGTGTATCTTAAAACCTTTACTGAGGTATAGTATACATACCCAGGTGGTGCTAGTGGTAAAGGACCCACCTGCCAATGCAGGAGACCTAAGATCCCTGGGTTAGGGAGATCCCCTGGAGGAGAGCCTGGCAACGCACTCCAGTATTCTTGCCTGGAGACTTCCATAACAGAAGGGCCTGGTGGGCTAGAGTCCATAGGTTCGCAAAGAGCTGGACATGACTGAAGCAGCTTAGCATGTACATACAATAAACTGCATATATTTTAAGTGTATATAGTTCAGTGTGACTTGACAAATCTATGCTTAGTTGCTCAGTTGTGTCTGACTCACATGACAAGTGTATATACTTGTAGAAACTCCACTACCATGAAGATACAAAACATTTCCACCATTCCCCAAACTTCCTTGTGGTCCCTCCACTACTGGCCCAGGTAACCACTGACCTGCTTTCTCACCACAGTTTTGCCTTTTCTGGAATGTTACATGAATAGAATCACAAAATATGAACACTTTTGTGCTTAGCTTTTGCTCAATGTTTTTAAAAACTTATCCATAATGTGTGTATTGGTAGTTTGTTCATTTTATGGCTGTACAGTATTCCATTGTATAGACATACTACAATTTGTTTATCCAAATTCCTATTGATAGACTCGGCTTATTTTGATTTCTGTCTATTTATGAATAAAACTTATGAATTTATAATAAAGTCTTTTTGTTAACAAATGGTTTCATTTCTCTTAGGTAAATACCTAGGAATGGCACTGCTAGACTGCTTGATAAATGTATATTTAACTTTATAAAAAATGTGAAACGGTTTTCCAAAGTGGTTGTTACCATATTACACTTGTACCATTAGTCTATGAAATCCCAGTAGCTCCACATCCTCAAAACCATCTGGAATTGTGTCATTTTTAATTGCAGCCATTCTGATGGGTATGTAGTGGTATCCTGTAGACCATCTTGGAAATTTGTATGCAGAATCTCATACCTGAGATCATAAACACCTTCCTAGGTGATTCTGCTATGAAGCAGCTTTCTGATAATGTCACAACAAATTATATGTGGAACAGACACAGGGGATGAATTGAGGTTACTAATTGTATATTATTACCAACTGTGAACTCATTACAAGGTGTTATGTTCCACTCAGTGTTGGTTTTTTTTTTTGATATGGACAGTTTTAAAGTCTTTATTGAATTTGTTACGGTATTGCTTCTGTTTTATGTTTTGGTTTTCTCGCCTAGAAGAATGCGGGATATCTTAGCTCCCTGACCAGAGATCAAGCCCGTGCATTGTAAGGTGAAGTCTTAAGCACTGGACTGCCAGCGAAGTCCCTACCCACAGCATCTTTGGTTTAGAATTGTGGCCTGGTCAACATGCTGAACTAGCATAACAGATAGGTCTTTTCCACAAGGTCACCACAGAGGAACAATAGAAGGAAAATGAAAAAAGCCCTGGGCTTTTTCCTAAGTGCCCATAGTCTTGGGTATTTAAAAAGCCATGCAGATGTGCAGGGATATGTTCATACCCCATGCTACGTGCATGTTCTGGCTTTTTTCTAAATGCCCATAGTCCTGGGCACTTAAAAAGCCATGCAGATGTGTAGGGACATGTTCATAGCCCATGCTACGTGTATGTTCAGGAAGCCTGGAAAAGCTCTAAGCTCTCACCACCAGCTAACTTGAGGCTTCACAGAAGAAGGAAATAAAGACTAAGGCAGAGTTGTCAACTGCTTGGCTGAGTGTTGAAGGCATGTGCCAACACACATAGGGCCCCTTGTCAAAGACTGACACAACTCTTGGTTTCAGGAATGTAAGGAGATGTCTGTCTAGTCATTGCTGCTGCTAAGTCGCTTCAGTCGTGTCTGACTCTGTGCGACCCCACAGACAGCAGCCCACCAGGCTTCACCATCCCTGGGATTCTCCAGGCAAGAACATTGGAGTGGGTTGCCATTTCCTTCTCCAATGCATGAAAGTGAAAAGTGAAAGTGAAGTCGCTCAGTCGTGTCTGACTCTTAGCGACCCCATGGACTGCAGCCTACCAGGCTCCTCCATCCATGGGATTTTCCAGGCAAGAGTACTGGAGTGGGGTGCCATTGCCTTCTCCGTCTGTCTAGTCATTAGATGATCGCAAATCTAACCAAGCAGAGACTATAGTGATCATGCACGACAACACAGACTTTACAGAACTAATTCAGAAAAGGCAATATACAAACAACAAGAAACCATGAGGAGGAAAAATGATTTCCTACATTATATTATTTTAAGTGTCTAATTTTCAACAGAAAATTATGAATCATGAAAGCATGGCCCATATATGGGGCAGTGGTAGTGGTGGGGCAGGTAGAATCAATAGAAACTGTTCTAGAGGAAGCTCAGTGATGGCCTCATTAGACAAAGACTTTTTTTCTTTTTTAGACAAAGACTTTAAATCAGATGTTATAAATATCTTAAACACTAGAGGAAATCATATCTAAAGAACTGAAAAGCTAAGCATGAATATAGTGTCCTGCCAAATTTAGAATATCAATAAAGAAACTGAATTTATAAAGAAACTCAATAGAAAAGCATAGTAGCTGACATGAAAAATGCACTAAGAGGTCAACAGCAGATATGATCAGGCAGATGAAAGAATCAGTAAACTTGAAGATATGTCAGGTCTGAAAACCAGAAAAAAGAATGACAAAAAAATGAACAGAGCCTCAGAGACCCGTGGGACACAAACATTCTAACATATGCAAAGGAGACTCCCAGAAGGAAAGGAGAGGGAGAGAAAGGAGTGAAAAGATTATTTGAAGAAACAATGGTAAAAAACTTACTAAATTTGACTTAAAAAAAAAAAAAAAAACCAAACCCCAACAACTATTTAAACATCCAAGGAACTCGATGAACTCCAAGTAGAATATTCCATACCTGGACACAACAACCAAACTACTGAAAGACAAAAACAAAGGGTGGGTGAAATGGGTTATAAAATACATAAATCACAGGGATGTAACGTACAGCATGGCAACTATAGTTAACAATACTGGGGACTTTCCTGGCAGTCTAGTGGTTAAGACTGCACTTTCACTGCAAGGGGCACAGGTTTGATCCCTGGTTGGGGAACTAAGATCACACATGCCCGGGGTGTGGCCAAAACAAGCGAACAGGCAGACAAATAAGTAATACTGTACTGTATACTTGAAAGCTGCTAAGAGAACAGACCTTAAGAGTTCTCATTACAAGGAAAAAACACTAACTTTTTGGTGAGGGATGTCAAGTAGACTTACTGTGGTTATCATCTCACAACATACACAAATGTTGAATCATTATACGGTACACCTGAAACTAATATGATGTATGTCAATTATACCTCAAAAAAAAAAAAAAAGAATATTGAAATTATCGAGAGAGAAGCAACTCATCTCGTACGAGAGATCCTGAACAAGATTAATAGCTGATTCCTCACCGTTGTTGTTTTTCAGTCACAAAGTCATGTCCGACTCAAAATTTTGTGACTCCATGGACTGCAGCCCGCCAGGTTCCTCTGTCCATGGGATTTCTCAGGCAAGAATACTGGAGTGGATTGCCATTTCCTTCTCCAGGGGATCTTCTCAACCCAGGTATCAAACTTGCATCTCCTGCATTGGCAAGCAGGTTCTTTACTACCGAGCTACCAGGGAAGCCCTTTGGAAACCCTAAAGGCCAGAAGACAGTGGGATGACCTATTCAAAGTGATGAAAGAAAAATATTCAGTCCAGAATTCTATATAAAGTAAAAGTATCCATCAAATATAAAGGAGATGGGAACTCCCTGGCGGTCCCATGGTTAGGAGTTCTCACATGGTTAGGAGTTCCGCGTTCTCACTGCCAAGGGCCTGAGTTCAATCCCTGCAGGGAAACTAACAGCCTACATCCCGCAAGCCGCATGGTGTGGGAAAAAAAATTCAAAACAAATAAAGGAGAAACTAAGATAATTCTAGATAAGCAAAAAACTGAAAAAAATTTGTCAGCAGCAGATCTACTTTACATGAAATACTAACAGTATTTCTTCAGTGTAAGGACATCAGATAGTAACTCAAATCCACAAGTAGGTTGAAAGTGAGAGTGAATGTATGCCATGCACACAGAAACCAAGAGAGTTGGGGTGGCTATATCAGACATAAAAGACCTGCACGATTAAAACTGCTATTAGCAACATAGAAAAACATTTTATAATAATAAAACAGCCCCAAAATACATGAAACAAAAACTGAACTGAAAGGAGAAATACAGAGCTCAACAAAAATAGTTGGAGTTCAATCTTTCATTTTCAATAATAAACTAGACAGA